AAAGGTTTGGGTGTAATCTGCAACAAAATGAAAGGTTTGGGACCGGTGATGTAATTTTTCCGAGTCAAAATTACTATTTCAATGTTGACTAACGGTTTTATGGACGGAATTCACGGCTTGGGACCGACGCTGCAATTACATACAAAGGTTTGGGACCGACGCTGCAATTATGTACAAAGATTTGGAACTTCTACGGCAACAAGTAAATGTTTGGGACCGACGCTGCTATTACATATAAAGGTTTGGGACTTCGGCTGCAAAAATTAAAGGTTTGGGTGTAATCTGCAACAAAATGAAAGGTTTGAGACCGCGGCCGCAATTTTCCCTTTATTAAATACCCGAAAGTTTTGGGTCGGTTCGAGACTCTTCAAAATCGAACCGAACCGACCCACGGATAGCCCTATTGACAACAAACACAAATGTTGTCGTTTAGATTTATGTTGTGCACAAGGGAATAATTGCTAAAGTAAATTTAAAAGATTTTAATGTCTATATTATATGGAAATGTCACGACTTGATAACAAAAGATATTGTCAAATACCCTTTTTTTTATGGGGAAAACCGAACTCGCATAAGTTCCCCAAAAATAAATAGATAATAAAAAGAAAAGCAGAAAAAAGGGTGAAAAATTGGGGAGCGACGGACAGCAGGAGTTAGAAAGATTTCCTCTTCGCTTATCTAACATCCCAAACACACAACACCGTTGACCCGATGCTATGGTTGGGTCTATGACTAGACCGGGTTATCTGCAAGTGTGGGAGAAAATAATCGGGTTTATAAAAATGAGAGTTTGACGGTCTACTCAGCTCATGTTTGACAACCATTATTTTAGAACTCTTTATTTTAAATATTCATTTTCGACCACACATTCACATAATAAAATATTCTGCACGTAAACTCAAAATTTTTCTATACTTTTTAAACACACATTCTTAAAAATCTCACCTTTCAAAATTTTGTTTTTGCCAAATGATGACCGTCAAAGAGGGGCTCAATTGAGATGGGATAGCATTCTTGGAAGTTGTGTAAAAGGCAGAGTACCAAACAGAACACAACTTCCTTCATAAGTTAAAGCTCCAAAACACTCCCAATGATATCCCACAATATCGTATAATTTTTAGATAAAAATTCAACGATTTTGTTCGTTCATGGTGTTGTAAACCTTAAGCCACGCCAACTATAGGTGGATGGTTAGAATGAAATGGACTAGTTTAGCACAAGAAACCGAAAATAAAATTCCATAAGGATTTTCACAACAATTTCAATTGAATTTTGTATCATAAAATGCCCCTTTAACATCCCATATTACTGAGCAGGTATGGGAATAAATGAAAAAGAACAAGACTCCAAAAAAGTATGGATGCAGCTGCAAACTTTCAGTATAATGTATTTTATATAGATTTAGGGTAAACAGAACCAAATATTTTCCACAGCAAGCAAGATCATAGATCAAAAGTATGATTCAGCAACATCCACGAAAGTTAAAGCTTAAATACGAAAACAAAATAACCAGCAGAAAAGATGAAGATGCCGTGAAAAAAATTAGATAATAGTAAGAGTAATTACACGAAATTTGACTATACAAGGATATTGTAGACAAGGATGTGAGAAAATGATAATCTCATCCTCTGAAATGGTTCTTAGGTCTACAGTTGTTCTTCTTGCTCCACTTGGAATCAATACAGGCTTCAAAACCCTTTTAAAGCCACTCTCATAATCACTTGTTATGCATGGAATCGGTTATCTTTTCCTATGCTCGGATTAACTTCATCGCTACGCTTGTAATGGCTTCCACAGTTACCATCAGAACCACGATCATCATTCTGCAAAGATGGCAATTTGCTGAAAGTGATTGCATCACTAAAATCAGGCCCTTTCTCTAGAAGAGCCACACTCTTCAAGAAACTGTCAACATGAACAGAGCATAGATATTCCTCGGATCTACAGCTAGGGACATCAAGATAATTAACTTGTGCACCAGAATCACAAGAAACCAAACAGCCATCCTTTGTAACCATTAACACTTCACCATCTTTTCTAACCCATAACGGCTTCATAAATCCTCTGCCAAAATCCTGTAAGTTAACATTAAATGGTTTAGTCCAAGACTCCACGTCCCCATATTCCTTCATCACCCATACACAATATTCGACCCTGGATTCATCACACATAACAAGAGCAAGTGATTCCCTAAAGATCACCAATTCCTTACATTTTTGAGAATCATCTTTAGCCAGACGAGCCGGTAATATCATCTCACCGAATACCTCATCACGCATATCAAATGACAAAATCAAATCATTACCATCCAAGTATCGAGCAATCCAATGAGTCACCCCATTTATATAAATCTGGCGCGACCTATTATGTATAATGTACTTAAGGGCCAAATGACTAATGTCTTCCCACACCCCCATGCTCAACCTATAAAGCTCAATCTGGGGCAGGCGCCCATTAAAATCAGTATATGTAATCCTCACTACCTTATAGTCCTTGGAAATGGGGTCGAATCCGAATCCAAAAGATTGCATAAAACTTCCATATGAATTATATACCATATTTGGTTTCGGAAGAAGAACCGACTTTTTAACACAAGGGTTCCAAATAATTATAGTGTTCATATAAAATACTCGATCATCAGAAAGACATAACAACCCGTTGCAGCTACCAATGATTGTGAAAAATGGGTTTATACTTCTAAAGGGGAAATCAAGTGTAAAATGTCGATCAAACAATAGATTATCACAATACAAATCATAGCGCTCAGTTTTTTTAATGCAGCGCCTAAGTAAAAGCAGAGGGGAGCCTTCATTGCTAGCAATGGCGAAATTGAGATGAGTAGCAATAAATTCTGGGCTGGTGATTAGAGTGTACCATGATCTTGAAACGCACATGCAGCAGATAAGGGGCTTGATGGGCAATCTTTTGAGGATGTTGATGGTGATTCCTTCAGGCAAAAAATCCGACATTTTTAGTTTTCTCGAGATTGTGATTTACAGATTTTAATGGGTTTTTGGGGAAGAAAAAGACCCAGAATTCAATTAATTGCTTCTCTATAAAACTAAAATCATGAGCAATTTTGGCTATAAAATGGGCTATATAGTGGGGATGAGCGTAACTTTCCACGGTTAAGACAATATTTTTTTTAGTTAAGACTGGCGGGGAATGCAATAATGAATAATTGGCAGTTTGCTGTCCAGTTGGGTTCTCTCAAGTTCCTCCAGTTAGAATATGTTCGAACTTCTAATTTTGTACCATTGTCATTTCTACAATGCGACTTTAGGATATTGTTTTCAAAAGTAAAGGATACATTGCTTCAAAAATGGGAAATTGGTTGGTTTGGGAATGGCTGAACTACTACTTAGGTCCCCCATCTCATGTACCTAACATCATTATAAGTTTTATTTAAAACATTGGTAGGATACTATATTTTAGACGTGTAAAGCACGTTAGGTCATATTATATCGTCTTATAATTTTTTATTTTTTCAAGAAGTATAAAAAGAATTTAAAAAGTTTGCGTGGCTGAAAAGCTAGGCTTAGCACGATTTCAATCTCTAGACTGAAGGCCAGGCATAATACGTGAGGTTTCGTCAAGCGTGACGGTTCAATCCAAATTGTAGAGAACGTTTTGTTTATAGTATTCTACGCCGAAGACTCTATTTTACTTCAATTTAATATAAATTAAAAATTTGCGTAAAATTTGTGAAATGAGGACTTTAAAGTTAAGTGTCCTTTGTGCAGTCCGTGACAAGAAGCTTAAGTCTAACCAATCCATCAACAATGGCAAGGGAGCTAGGTAAATTTTGGTCTAGCTACACAGTTTGTTAAGGATATGTTTGGTAAGAAAGATTGAATATTTGACAATATTGAATACGAAATATAAGCCAAAATTTTGCTATAAAAGTTTCTCTCTTTTCAGGTATTGCGTACCGAACACGCATTTGGTAGGTTGGATGACCTCGAAATCCGACACTCACATTGAATGCATGTTCCTCAAATTTATAATTATTCATATGAAATATATGAATAAAAATAGAGTTTGATTATCTTATAATATAATTATAAGCTTTGCCAAACATGCTGTGAGAAGGTGATGTGACTCTCCTTTGAAGATTGGTTACATCTTTCTTGGAGGTTGAGTGTTGTACTCATTTTTTTGTAGCTCTAGTAGTTTTCTTCCTAACCAAAGAAAATAAGGCTACAATAAGATCATGAAAACATATATCAACAAGTGGAGGTGTTACCTACTACTGATGAATCAACAGAAGGATGATTTTCGAGATGTAGCATGTAAAACATAAAGAGACTCTCGTTTATAAAAAAATGATACTATCTCAATAGAAAAACCGACGTTAGACGAGTGATTGATCGACCAATTGATAAAAGTGGTAGAAACATGCTATTGGACATGATTTGAGATTAATGATATGCACTCTAAATAAAATAAAAATGTCTCTAATTCTTGAATGTTAGAAAGCCACTTTTAGAGTGTCATTCTTGAGTTCAATCTACAAAACTTTGCATTCACTCTTAAGGGGAATGTGGTCCTAGATATAGGATTATGAAACAAATACTTTTTAATTTTTGTATTACCTAGTCATAAATTCATAATGGAATACTGAAGTGCACTATGTACAAGCCATGTTCATAAATAGTGTCTACCAGATTAAATATTTTGTGCCAATTTTTGGGCTCATCTCCTTATCATGCAAAATATTTTCTGTCGCGTCCTGCTTCATTTTTTTTTTTGGTGCTTCAAAGTTCAGTAGAAAGAAGACATTAGTTCTGTAGGCTTACGAGATTTTGATTTTCCTTTTTTCACCAATTATTAAGTCTCTTCTTCTTCTCTTTTCATGCAAAATATTTTCAGATATTCTACTTCCATTTTTTTCTTTTTCCTTATCACAAAGTTCAATAGAAAATGAAACAGAATGTTCCATGCTGATTTCTTTTGTTATAACTTGAGACAATTGAACAAAAAAATCTTTCTATTACAGTATAACTTGAGACAATTGCTCGACATCGTGAAGTCTTTGAAATTAAATCACTACACGCCTAAATTTATCGCATATTTAAATTGCAGTGTGTCCGACAATCATGGTCTTAAAAATACTATGTTATCATCGTAACCATATTAATACAAAATTGGCTTCATTCTTCTTATTTGGCTTCTGAACCATGATGGTTGTTCCGTCCTTGGTCACATCTTTGATTTTTTCTTTCCTTCTTGCTTCGTGTGATGTGCTTCAATCTAATTTTATCTTGTTTTTAATTTAGGCGAGAATTTTGCTTTAATGGGGGAAAAAAAAAGCTTATTTACTATTGCTGTACTATTTTATAAAAGATTAGTAACAGTATGTTCTACCATGTAAGAGAGTCTCTATGTTCAAAATCTATAGCAACGTGGATTAGATAGCATTAGAAAATATTGAAAAAAAAAATAAAAAAATCTTGTTTGTTGTAGTGTCCAATAAGGTTAAGGATGCATACGAATCATGCATTGTGCTTATGTAAAGATAGAAACCCCAACTGGTATATTATATTAACAGCAACAAAATATTTGATGGAGGAAATCAAGGAATCATTGAAGATCAAGATAAATAATTGAAGATCAAGATGATTGATGATTATGATGATGTGCTTAATTTTAGGAATTGTTATTTATCTTTACATATTTAGTTTATTGAATTGTACTATAAATTGATGGTTTCTCAATGAATAAAACAACAACTCCAATTTCTATCTTCTCCATATTTTCTTCTTGGTATCAGAGCAGGTTTCGAGCTTCCGCTTCCGGCGAGCGGCCTAATGCCGCTCGTCCGGCCAACTTTTTTTTCATTTTCATTTTCTTCTAGTTTTTTTTTAAAGCTTATCCATCAATTTTATGCCGCTCGTCCGGCCAACTTTTTTTTCATTTTCATTTTCTTCTAATTTTTTTTAAAGCTTATCCATCAATTTTTCTTCTCCATGTCATCATGGTTTCATCTACCTACACGTAACGATTTGATTTATTCTACTTTGTTCAACAGTGGCCATTGTGCTCAATTTTTCCAGGCGACACAAGAAAATAAAATTGATAATTTCAAGGGATTTCCTGTAAAACTGACTCTCTGTCTCAACTTTTGAGGAGTAGCAGCTGTGCATCATCAGAATAAGAATAGAAAATCAACACTTTGTGAATGATTGCAGGCATCTTTTGGGCCCAACTAATAATAGATTCTCACGTTATCTTCCACCAAATATATCATTCAAGATCCAAACAACACAAATCAATACCCACCCACACCAAATTCAAACATCACAACACCAACAAAAATTCATACCAAAAATCAATGTACGAATTCATTGCCTATCAANTTGACAAAAATATATGAAGGAGGAAAGCAAGGAATCATTGAAGACAAATTGATCAAGATAATTGATGATTATGATGATGTGCTTAATTTTAGGAATTGTTATTTATCTTTACATATTTAGTTTATTGAGTTGTACTATAAATTGATGGTTTCTCAATGAATAAAACAACAACTCCAATTTCTATCTTCTCCATATTTTCTTCTTATTATACAAACAAAAAGATCAGTCTTTTTTCATGAAATTGAAATTTCATAATATAAGCTTACAGATCATAAGAAGTAGGGCAAATGACTGCGTCGTAAGATTGATACAGTACGTAACTGGGCTATATCCTGTGCAGAATTAGGTGAGCCCCATGTTGAGGTTGAAGAGTTATAAGCGTATGAGGAGCATGTGTATAGGACGGCGAGAGCTGAAAAGAGAAGCGTTGTAGAATCATGGCCATTGCCATTTTTGCCTCTATCATGGCGAAGGTTTGTCCAACACATATCCGAGGACCCCATCCAAAGGGGAAATATAAGCCTTGTTTCTTCTGTGCCTTTGACACTCCTTCACTAAATCTCTCTGGCTTGAACTCCATTGCATCCTCTCCCCAAATTTCGCAGTCATGATGTAATAAGATTGTCGATAATTGAAGCTGTGTCTCAGCTGGGAGCAATAGTTTCCCCAATCTCGTTTCTTCATGAACTCTCCGAGGAATTCCAACTGCTGGTGGATAGAGTCTCATGACCTCGTACAAAATCATGGTAACCTGTGATGAAGATCCCATACAAGTTATAAACAGGAAGAAATAGAGTTACATACATTCATTTTAGTTTATACTAAGCCAATGATCTGCAAGTCTAAAACCTTTATGATGTTTGGTATTAGTTCAACATTTCACTTTCAAGAGAGGAATGATATAAAGGTTATTTCCAATCATATTGTTATTTGAAAACTACTTACGATTTTCAAGTGATTTAACCCATCGAAATCTGGCTTTTTACTACCAAATACTTGCGAGACCTCTTCTCTAGCCCTCGTCTGCCAGTCTGAATGTGTACTCAATAGAACCAATGTCCAGACTAGTAACACAGAAGTGGTCTCTTGTCCAGCAAAATAGAATAGCTTGCATTCTTCTACGACCTCATCTATGCTCATTCCAAAATTCTTGTTTCCACGTTGTTTAATTTCTTGGAGGTTGGATTCCAACAATATGCCCAACAAATCATCATTACGTGCATCCCCCGCCTCCATTGCCTTCAGTCTTCTATTTATAATATCTCTAACTGATGCTTGAACTTCCTTTTCAATTTCCTTCATTCTTTTGTTCCTCTTAGTTGGCACAAACCTATACACAAGGGATGTATCACTTCAGAGGATACATGAACAACTACATAATCATAACTGATCAGGTAAAAATGGTTCTTCTGACTAATCATTTTTGCAGAAAAAAGATTGGATTCGAAAGTAACTAGTCATTTCGTCAGGTAGAGATTTCTTCAAGACTAGTCAGCTATAGAGTTACCTCCATCCAGGAATATAGATAGACTGGGACGCCTTGATGATGTGTTCAGCTTGTTCTCTCTGAAGTTCGAATATCCTTCTTCCATCTTCGTAACTACTACCAAACGATGTTCTTGATATTGCATCACTAGATAGTTTTTGAAGATATGGCCACAAGTCGAAGTCGCATGATTCTCCAGAAGCAAGACCCTGTTCCCATTTGCTCAAAATCTCTTCACAACTCAAATAAAAAGCTGGCATCATAAGCTGTAAGACGCAGGGGTGAAAAGCAATCTCATCAGCAATAAGTTGTCTTTCAGTGTGAATCTTTTGTTTCTTAAGAAAATAAGTATTCTTGATAACAAAATCTAACAATATAACATCTTTAAGGTGAATTTAATTTTTCAATATGATCCATCCCTTACAAATCTTTGAATAAATAAATATCACATTTTAGCACTATACACAAGATAGAGAAAACCTTTAGCTTCTCTAGATGGAAAGCAGGGTTGATGATTTTTCTGTGTTTAGCCCATTTATCTTCCTCATAGCTCACTACACCTTGTGCAAGCAGCTTGGTCAGTGGATTCATGTTTTTTGGCTTCTGGTACACATAATTCTTAGTTAGAACCTCCTTTATGAGTTCAGGGTCCGTGATTATAATCAATGGTCTTGGCCCAAGCCACATGAAGGCGTTGGTACCTGCAAGTTATGGCGACAAGAATAATATAAAATCCAGTTTAACAAGAAAGAATATATTTAGGAACACTGGTATGCAGCTACAAATTAGAACGTGGACACCTAAGGGATCTAAGATAAAAGAATTTATTTTGCAAATCAGAACAAGTCAAATGAAAGTAGATACTTTTTCCCTTTAACTTGGAAGTTTTGAAATGGGTAGAAATGAAAGTACACAATCTAATCCTGACCTAGAATGTTGAACCATTCTACGTTCACCCCCAACTCAGCTGTCAGTAATCAATTGAGACGATCATATACTCGTGAACCCAGAATTTTTTGATGTATGCGGACATGTGTGACACTATAAAAATAATCATCCAAACATTACTGAAGCTCTGTTCACCTTGTGTACAACTTATCGTATAATCATGGAAAGAACATTATTGGTGTTGCAGTCAATAAACGATCTATCATTTAGCATCCCAATCTTCATAATTTATGAACAAAAGAACAGATCTAAATGTCTCCTCTGTAAAGCTGACATTTCCCGAGCGGAGATCTACAGATACAGGCAGCATCTTGGATCAAATCATACAAAATTCTTGTTTATCAAGTACAGGAGAATGGAACTGAGAAACAATTTCAAATTATGATGGTTAATATCAGACTAACATGCTATATGTGTGTGTGTTCTTTTCCAGATGACATAAAAAAAGAGGGCTCTTCAAACTACTGCAAAAGCTATTGTTTAAATTTTGATCATCCAACCATTGCACATGTATCTTCCAGTTTCTAGTCTACTTTATACAAACAGTCTTAGAGTTTGATTGAACACAAGTTTTGGATTATTTACACAAGTTTCTTTGTATAAGTTTCCAATGACTAACCAATTTTCGTCAAACAATCTGCTCACATCTTGTCTATGGTTGGCAACTCACAAAAGGATGAGATCAATCGTAAAAGAAACGGATTTCTAACAAGGATTCAAGTTTAGACGAGATGCAATTGAAAAAGTAAAGGCAGAAGAAGATAGATCAAAAAGTAAAAGCAGTTCTGCTCTACCCCAAAACGACTAAATGTCCCATCTTTAACCGTCAAGTCAGGCCCCTTTGCCTCGATATGGATAAAACAAGGTCCAAGAAAAAAACATTGCTTTTTTATCTGTTTACATACTGTTCTCACAAAGCAATAACTACCCAAAATAATTGATTTTTCAAAGAACCCCATTTCTCTTGAACTAGAAGTTCAGATTTTGAAAAATCATAGAATAGAAAGCCGTTTGAAACCTATTAGTCCTAGCCGTAAATGAGACTGTATCAAAGTGAAAGAAACCCCAACTGGGAAATTAACATGGGACTTTACACAAACAGTAACTAGGCAATACCAAGAACCTACCATACTTCTCCAGTGTTTTGAGGAAGAAGGGTATGACCCTTGGCTTGATATCGTCTGAAAGATTGATTGGTTTGGATTTGGCTTTCTGCATCATGCTTAACATATCTTTCAAATTTCCATAGAGGAATCTGTAGGAGTTTCCATTCAAACCTTGTTGTCTCAGACATTTTTCCATCTTCTTTGGCTTAAACCAAACCCAATTCAACACCCTCCATGTGTATATCAGTAGCACAAAAGCACAACACACACCAATTGAGTAATACAGAATCTCCATGCCCAGTTATAATCACTGCACAGGTGCAAGTCTTCCTCTACACCTTCGTATATGACTATATATAATTATTAACAGGAAACAGCATGGAAAATTCACCTTGTGTATGCATATAAAGACAAAAAATGACTTATCTTGAAACTTCTTGTTTATACATTAAAAAAAAAAAAAAAATCTTTAAATGTTTGTGCGTGTATGTATGCATTATGATGTCCCACTTTTTTTGAACTTTTCTGTCATCCAAAGATACATTTTCCTTTCAGTATATTCCATTTTTTTATACCTTTTGAATCATCAGCCAATTGGATTTATTGTTCATTTAAACACTTCAATCTTCCTAGTTAATAAATTCTATATTGTTGGAATTCTCGAAAACCTTGTCGAAAACAACATTCTACTAAAGAGAAAAATCTGAAATATTCGAAGAACCTTTAGATCAACAACTATTAAGTTTTTTTATTCCTTGTGTTCCAGAAGAATGGCTATTAGTAAAGAGAAATGCTACTCATCTCCAATCTATGTGACGTTAATGTGGCATTAAATGATAGGTGAAATTAAATATGTCATTTAATATCACCTATCATTTAATCAATCATTTACATTCACATAGGTTGGGGATGTATCCCCACTGAGGATGAATAACATTTTTAATTAATAAATATAGGATGCTGACAATTGGACTTGTTATTTCAGTCATATAAACGCCAAAAGAGGTGTCTTTTGCTGCGATGCATGGAAAATAAAAACTTAGCCAGCAAGTATAAAAGCCAAGATCTTGGGGTATTGTCTCGATATGGACCTTGTTTTAGTGTGAATCCAACATGTGACTATAGAGTAATGCTATTTATAGTCGCTCATCATGACGGTCGTCCTACGTGACATATACATAGCAAGTAGTTATTTGATGCATTATTGTGGTGATTCTTTTACCATATTAATGCATCAAGTGCACTTGACATGACATGTGTGTGCCACATATGGCGATTGTCGCAGTGAACGACTGCAAATAGCATTATTCTTTTCGATATTGTCTTGCATTTCAATAGAAACTTCTTCCTGCCTTATCATATTGGCATGTGTGTAAGGCTGTCTTTTTGTGTGGATATTTTCATTTTTTGTCAATGTCACATGGGTAGATCGGATTAAGAGGAAATTGTTTTTCTTCTTTCGTCTTGATAATAATTATGGGTGTGAGACAATTGATTCGACTTCGATGATAGACTTTGGTTTCTCTCGAATGAAATATAAGATATATTTAAAATTAGTGAGTTAATTTTCAGAAATAGAGATTCAATAACATCTTTTGATGAATGGTCTTTAATCGGTATTAAAGGACAATGTAGTTGTAGGCAAAGTATGGAGCCATCACCTAATTGTTACAAATAGGTTCCATACTTATGGATAAGGGTAGCAATGGGTCAGGCTGAGACACAGTTTGGCTCTTTGGTTCACGGGCCTCATAAACCGAGCCATCCATGAGCCTACGAGCTGGCTCATTATTTAAAAAAAATAATAAAATGAGCTAAAAAATGAGCCGGCCCACAAGCCCAAAATGAGCTGACTCATAAAAAAAATGTTTGAGCTCTGCTCGGATCATGGCTAATCTTAATACAAGTCTTAGCACCCATGGATCGAGTCATGACAAGTTGGGCCCATGAATCAACAAGCGACTCGACTTGTTTGCCATTTTGCCACCATACTTATAGACAAGTCTTGTTGATCCTATCTAGTCACACGAATTGCGGATATGCTATTTTACAATATATTAAACATTTGCTTATCACTAACATGATTAATGGTTGATTAAGCTCGATAGAGTCATGTTCGACCGCAACTTCTGAGTCTTACAAGCTCAATCTCATAATCACACGACTAGTGTGATTAACCACCTTGTCTTTACTACCTAACTTGTACGTTAAAATTACTTGACCCCTAATTTTGTCATGCCACCATATATTATGCTATTCTAAGGTAACAGTATTCTTCTCTAAATGAAAATCTCAAAAGCTTGCACAGTGAATTATCATTTTTTTGTACCCCAAAATTAATAATTTTTAAGGTTGCGCCTCGTTATTGTACCCATCTATGTTTTTACTAGTCTGTTTATTGAGCCACATAAAGTATATCAATCACACTAGTGATAATTGATCCAGATCTCCGTGGTTCAAGATTCTTGATCTAGGTCAAGATAGTGTTTCATAAATTTTTACTTCGTATTTTCTTGTACTAAACATCGACTAAAAGTGAAATATTAGCCAATACACAAGGACCTAGGCTACTGCTTTAGATCAAGTGATTCAATACCTATTAAGGGTTAAAGCCCTATTCATCAAATGATGGTGATTGAGAAAAGCTAGTGACGCTTGAAATATTTCCTCGTATTCTTTTGTTCACACTGCATTTTCATGCTTTGTCCAATCACCGAAAACGATAACTAGATGTTAAGGGGCTGTTCTCTTTGTGTTTCAGTTTTGTGTTTTGAGTTTTGAATTCATTTTGTGTTTTGTGTTTTGAGTGTTTGTTTTGAAGTTTCTGAAAATGCGTTCTTTTTATCATTTTGAAAAACTATTTCTCAAAACATGAAAATGGAAAACGTGTTTACTTTGAAATTTTGAAAATATTTTTTTTATAATATTTTATTCAAGAAATCTGATTATTCAATAAATTTCAATAGTTTAATGTTAGTATAGTATTAAATAACATATAAAATTTGAAGTTGATGAATCTTGAAATATTTGTTTCCAGATGTAAAAACACATTAAATTAAATTTGACAAATTCTTATTTTTGTTCTTGCACGTAACTTGTAATCAAAATTCGAGTTTTGTGTGTAAATCTCCACTTTGCTTGGAAAATCTCAAGTTTCATAGAAAGTGCAATAAAAAGACAGTTTCAAGGATGCATATAATGTGAGAAATGTAGTCCGTAGCTTCTGTTACACATTTTCCACAAGTCAAATAAAATATCAATGGTACAATAATTAAATTTATAGTTCAACTTCAAAAAACGAAGTGCAATTTAGAGTTGTAGATAAAAATTTATGTGGGTTTGAAATTAGATAGTTGAGTAAACTCAAGATTCACCCAACATATTCGACTTTTACGCAACAAACTCGAGATTCGCCTAATAAATTCGAGGTCTTCCCAACAAGCTTGAGATTTGACCCGCTAGCTCACCAGATGTCTACAAAATTCAAAACTTGTCCAACAAAAATTCATTATTCTACCCATCAAACTAGAAATTATGTCCAACATTCAATTCGAAAATTTGTCTTTGAAAATGCAGATAATGTGAAACACAGAATTTTGATGAAGATAACATAAGGTAAATCTTCTCTTCTTTGGGTGAATTGTCGAGACTCAACTGGGGTGTTACCGACTCTTCCATTTTCCAAAGTGGACATCTTGCCATCATAACAAGACTCGACAAACTTCACAGCACCTGTAGTAGTAATATGCTCTTGGGATCTATGTAAAATACCTGGTGCTATGTAGCCCACAGATCCCTTCAGCCCAATGGTGCTATGTAGCCCACAGATCCCTTTAAAGTAAGACTCTGCCTTTGATCATCACTCTTGCTGTGAAGCCACTTCTCTAAGCTTCCATTTGGCATGAACTGAAGAACCAAAGCCTTAAATGTGGGACTTGAAGAAGCACTCAGGATCTTGAACAACCTTGAATATCACCACATATGCTTGATTTCTCCAGTCCAACAACCTCGCCAATTGTAGATTCCCCATCTCTGTTTTGAACAACAGTTTTAAAGTTAGGATGGTACTTACAGAACTCATTCTTTATTATAGAGTGAACCACATTGCGTGCCAACAGACTAATAGTTTTGCAAGGGAGATTAAATATGTGCTCAAGATTTCACTCCACAGACTGACCACCAAAATCATCGCAATATGATACGAGGTGGGAGTTCCCACAACCTTCACTTTTGTCCTCTCCATTCAGAACTAGGGCCAAACCAAAAGAAAGCCAACCAAGCCGTAGGCTCTCCTCACCCATTGCAGATTACAGCAAGTTATACTAACCAAGCCAGCTAAAGACACCTACAGAAACCTTCAAGTTGCTTTGGAAATTCAATCAAGAACCTAATGCAGGATTTAGTAATTACAAACCCTAGCGAACAATCATCCTTCAAAACATGTGCAAAGGAGATTAAATATGTTCTCAAGAATTTCAAATGTTTATTAATAACCCATTTAATTCACTACTGAGGCTTTCATTCTTCAAAGCTAGTAAGAACGAGTACAAATAATTCAATATCTTCAGAATACCAATTTTTCTGTTTCCATCTCGTCTATCACGAGGAGCCAATTTCCAAATACACTAATAATTCAATCTCCAAATTCAAAATTCATCAAAAAGTCAATCACCCAGCATTTTACATCATAACGTCAAAAAATTATTGTAATCAATTCAAAATCAAATACGTTCCGCATAAATATCCATGATGTTAATAAGTGACGCTGAGAAGCACTTACAGGAGTATAAGCTGTCAATAAATACAACGGAGAGCAAAACTTGAAATGCTATTATGCTAATACTGAAATTCTTCCTTGAAATTGTAAAGGCGGCTCAGGAATACTAGGGTTCCACTGGCGCATCTCCTTCGTCGCCGATTGCAGTGTTTGAGCGGGTCACCGGCGTCGAGAAGAGAGATGGAAGAGACTGGATTGGAAGAAGAGATGAGGAAGATGAGATGAGGAAGACTGGAAGAGATGGTTTTGAACGTTACCGTGTTTTCCAATTTTGGGGCCTTTTTGGAGCGTTTCCCGTGTTTTCCATTTTTGGGGCATTTTTCACAGAAAACAGTTTTCCAATTTTGGGGCCTTTTTGGAGCGCTTCCCGTGTTTTCCATTTTTGGGGCAGTTTTCACAGAAAACGTCCAAAACGTTGAAAACCTCATTTTGTGTTTTCAGTACAAAAAAAAATTTTGTTTTCAAAAACACGTTTTCGAAAATAGGAAAGAGAACGCGTTTTCACTATTTTGAAAAATCGAAAACAGAAAACGGTTTAAAAAGAGCAAAGAGAACAGGGCCTAAATTTTCAGAAAATTTCTTGGTTCCTTCATTCTTTTTTGTTTGCCTTCTAAATCAAGTTGTTATCTCCTTCCTCAACCAATTTTCTTTCTTTCTTTTTCAAAATTTGTTTATGGAATTTTGTCTTATCCGGAATAAGCTTATTTTGTTGTTGTTGTTGTTGTCGCCGTCGTCTTCTGGGTTAATCAAGATTAGTAACGATAGTTGCTATTCTTTAAATCAATCCTTAAACTCAAAATACATGCATCAGAATGCATATAATGTGGATTGGGTAACACTAGACATCATTAAGAAGCAAAAATAATTGAAATCATATATGTTGTAGTGTCTAGTACTATGTATATAAGAACACTGAATACAACATCAATACTCTTCCTCTTTGAGGAATATCTTAGATTATTGGATGAGAAAAGTCTCAACTTTCATATACATACACATCAAAATTACATGGCCAAATCCCAATTATGATAGTCTGCACTTAAAAACATCATGAGAAGGAAGGGGCTATGTAAATGACTGTATTTTTTGCTCGATACAACCTTTTACTTTTATATGCTATATCCTATCCACTTCGGTTACTCACCTCGTACTATATTGTTGTAGGCGTTTCGGCGCCTTGGAGTGTGGGCATGTTTTGATGACTTGGCGACTCTTTGATGTAAAAAAAGATAATAAAAAGAGAAGTAGAAGCGGAAAAAATAAATAAATAAATAAAAATTGAAGAGAGATGGAGAGCATGGGGGTGGAAAGATGTCCTCTTTTCTTAGCTAACGTCCCACACATGCAACACCATAGACCCCGTGCTATGGCCGGGTCTATGACTAGACCTGGTTATCTATAAGTATGGGAGGAAATAATTGGGTTTACAAAAATGAGAGTTTGACATTCTTCTCAATTGAGATGGGATAGCATTCTTGGAAGCTTGGGTACAATGCGGAGTACCTAACAGACAACACAACTTCTTTTATAAGTTCGTTCGTTTATGTGCCATAAACCTTAAGCCACACCAACTATAGGTGGGTGGTTAGAATGAAATTCACTAGCTTAGCAAAAGAAACCAAAAATAAAATTCCATAAGGATTTTCACAACAATTTCAATTGAATTTTGTATCAAAATATGCCACTTTAACATCCCACATTACTGAGCAGGTATGGGAATAAATGAACAAGAACAGACTCCAAAAGAGTATAAATACAGCTGCAAAACTCATTAAAACTAAGGCCAATATTTTCAGTATAATGTATTTTATATAAATTTAGGGTAAATAGAACCAAATATTTTCCACAGCAAGCAAGATCATTGATCAAAAATACGATTCAGCAACATCCTTGAAAGTTAAAGCTTAAATACGAAAGCAAAATAACCAGCAAAAAATGAAGATGCCGTGAAATAATATAGAAAGTAGTAAGAGTGTGTTTGATTGGTATGAAAAATACATCTTAGAAAAGAAAATATTTCCTTGTTTTGAAGTGTTTGGTTGCTATTTTTTTCCATGGAAAATATTTTTCAACTTTCAAAAATATACCTAATTTTCCTTATTTTTAAGGAAAACATTTTCTTTAGGGGGGAGGAGTAGTTTTTGTTTTAAGTCGACTACTCCAGTCAGTGATTCCTGCATCAGGAAGGTCGTCGGTCGTCGCCGCCTGCGTCGGAGGAGTCCCCATCGCCATTCATCCTTCGCTCGTCGTCTGCACATATTTTCAGTGATTTGAGGTTCTCGTTTTCAGCCAGTTGTTTGGGAAGTTGTTCTCATTCTCATCCAGTTATTTAGGAAGTTGCTTGGGCTTGCTGTTTGGAGCTCTGGGTACTAAAAATTGTAGACTTCTAGGTCTTTTGGTTGAAGATATATGCTTCAACTTCATTGTTTGAAATTTCTAGTCTTTGCTCAGGTTCGGGGTCTTCAAGTATTTTAATTTTGTTGTGATATTCTGCTTTGTTATTTGCTTGATATTTGATAAATGGAGGATAAGACTTCTATAGTTGTATTGGATGTGATTCCTAAGATGTCAAAAATTACGGAACATAGACTTAACAGATCTAATTATTTGGATTGAAGTAAAACTGTTAGATTGTATTTGTAGAGTATTGCTATGGAGTATGGATAATCACCTAACTGATGAACCACCTAGTGATGGCTCGAAAGCCTCATGGCTAAGAGAGGACGCTCGTATGTTTTTGCAAATACGTAATTCCATTGACAGTGAGGTGGTCGGTTTGATAAATCACCATGAATTTGTAAAAAAATTGATGGATTATTTGGAATTTGTGTACTCTGGAAAGAGAAATATCAAACATACCTATGAGGCGTGTCAAGCCTACTACCGTGCAGAAAAAAGTGACAGATGTCTTACTGACTACTTTATGTATTTTAAGAAGTCTCATGAAGAAGTTAATATGCTACTTCCATTCAGTACTGATGTAAAAGTTCAGCAAGCTCAGAGGGAAAAAATGGCTGTTATGAGCTTCTTGGGACCAGAAGGAAGACTCAAACTCACGGTTAAATCTCAAATTCTTTCTAGCCATGACATATCATCTTTAGAAGAATCTTTTAGTAGGGTACTCCGCATAGAATATTCAGCCTTTACTCAACCTATTAGTGCTTTCGTCAGTCGCACCTCTGAATTTGGGAGACAGCCATTTAGAAGTGGCAATAAAGGGGAAAACTCAAGTAACTATGATCGAAATCTTAATACTCGAGGATAGGATTCGGGAGGTGTTGTATGTTACTATTATAAGCCAGGAAAAGTGAAGAAGGATTGTAGAAAGTTACAGCTAACGAATCAGTCGAGCTAGTCAGCCCATATGGCATCTACTAATGATACCTCTAAGCCTATTCTAATATTTTTGCAGATGAGTATGCCAAGTTCTCACAATATCAGGAAACTTTAACATCTTTATCTACTCCTATCACAGTCATCGCTGATTTAGGTAGAATGAACACATGTCTTATTTCTTTATCTTCCAAATGGGTCATTAATTCTGGTGCCACAAATCACATGATAGCTAATCTCCATTACCCTCAATTCCTTTACAATCTGTTCTAAACTTACCTAACTTGTCTTTTAATTTAATCTCTATTAGTAAGCTCACTCATTCTCTTAATTGTTCTGTCTCATTTTATCCTAATTTTTGTCTATTTTAGGATCTTATGATGAAGAGGATTATTGGTAAAGGACATTGTTGATACACAGACACCTAAGTCGGTTGTATGTTTTGGAGTTGTGACCCCTTTTGAAGTACATTGTCAGCTCGGTCACCCTTCGTTGCCTGTGTTAAAGAAACTTTATCCCCAATTTTCTAGCTTATCTTCATTAGATTGTAACTCATGTCAGTTTGCCAAACACCATCGTTTAAGCTCTAGGCCTAGAGTCAATAAAAGAGCTAATGCTCCTTTTGAGTTAGTTCACTCCGATGATTGGGGTCCGTGTACTGTTGTGTCTAAAGCTGGGTTTAAATATTTTGTTACCTTTGTTGACGATTATTCTCGAATGACATGGTTAT